CATTTAATCTACTGACAGAGCCCTCACTCAACATTACTGACCTAACATTCATTTAATCTACTGACAGAGCCCTCACTCAACATTACTGACCTAACATTCATTTAATCTACTGACAGAGCCCTCACTCAACATTACTGACCTAACATTCATTTAATCTACTGACAGAGCACTCACTCAACACTACTGACCCAAAATTCATTTAATCTACTGATAGAGCACTCACTTAACCTTACTGATCCAGCAGTGACCTGCTGTAATGATCCAGTACTTACTTGACATCCAGCATTCTCTTGACGTATCTTCATTCAACTTTCTCTCAATATCTACCAACAAAACACATGAGAGTCTGTTGGTCTGTGTTTGAAAATTAGGGAGTATCCATATATAGAAGTAAATAAAGTATCTTATAGGCATATTTAGTATTTGATATATTATATTTTGTTCTTTTTTGAACTTTACACTTAATTTCAAAGTGGGTCTTGTTTGTTAAGTGACCATTATTAGTACTTACATAAAAAAATATCTTTCTTAGAGATGTATGTTATTGTGAGATCTTTAATAGACAGGTTATTACGTAAATATCCCAGTAAGAGTAAAAATAATTGAATTAAATGTTATATTTATGTTCAGTGATATGTAAAGTAATATTACAACTTCCACACAGCTTAGATAATTCTTCTGGAATTGATTGATTCGTAAAGATATTTTAGAATTATGAAATTGTGTTTTAAGTTCAATTTAGACATTTGTGTAGAGTTAACAAATAAATTCAAATTACCCGCATTTCATAATGTTACAATTGCTAATAGCAGTTTTAGTTTTCTGTAATCAGGCACTAACGATGTATATTTATTGTAATAACAGACTCGATACAAGGATTGGCAGGAAGGTGTTTTGCAGTCGTCATATTTTACTGAACGCTTGCTAGAAGTAAACAACTACTTACAACAATACGAAATGAGTGTAATGCCACCTGGTTGGATCTGCAGCTGGGACAGGTATGGACAATCAGGGTGTTTCTCTTTTTCCCCTGGACTGATTACTTCAGTCAGCTTTGTTTCACTTTCTTGTAGCAGTTGTAAAAACAGTTGTGTTCTTAGGAATATGCTTTTCTTCCACATAAGTTTCATTGTCTCTGGAGCTTAGAAAATTAGTTTATGGTTATTGATAAAAATTAACTCTAATGCCTATTTATGAGGCTTTCAAAGTTTCTTCTATTGACAACCTGAAATAAGAAGTTAGCCTTACCAGATCTGAAGATACACGGAACTCTAAAACAACATTAGAACATTTCTTGATGCTAAGAAAAACCAAGGGTGATACTGCTTCTATTGGTTAAGCCATTCCTGTGGCCAATGACTTAAGTTTGTAGCAGAATTGGGTGAGGAGTAACAGACAGCACTTCTACAACGTAGTGGAGCATCAACCCAGAGTAAACTGCTTCATGAAGTGACAGGTTGGAGCCCTGAGTGAGGTAGGACATGACTGACTTTCTTTACTTTCAACCAGAAGTGAGTAGGTTTTTCATTATTTCAATATTGAGTTCTGTTTTTAAAATTAAAGAATTTAAGCAAGATTAGGAGGCTTGTATGGGTTTCCTTTTGCTTACTAATTGTTTCGTGTAGATATTATATAGTATGTATGTAATTTGTCATTTATCTTAATATTTTCATCAAACCCGACCAATATCTGTTGAACTGATGGTCTGCTAAACTCTTAAGACGTCGTCTTATGTAGAGCTAGATGGTAAAAAGTTTATTCCTGTTTTCCCTTTGTTGATAAAAACCTCATCTTATTGGTTTGTGGCTGAGAAACAACCTTATTCCTGTTTTCCCTTTGTTGATGAAAACCTCATCTTATTGGTTTGTAGCTGAGAAACACCCTTATTCCTGTTTTCCCTTTGTTGATGAAAACCTCATCTTATTGGTTTGTAGCTGAGAAACAACCTTATTCCTGTTTTCCCTTTGTTGATGAAAACCTCATCTTATTGGTTTGTAGCTGAGAAACACCTCGTCTGATTACCTGTTGCTATGTAATCATCTTATCTTAGACTTTTTGCATCAGATTGAAGAGTGTTGCGTTATGATCATCCTAGACTGTTTGATAGTCATTGTCAGTAGATTGATTACTTAAAGTTGTAGAATATTTCACCATGTTGTTCAAATGTTATACGAGTTTGTGATATAGGAATTGGCATAGCTTTTTGAAATAGAGTCTTTGTGAAAGTAAATAATAAACCATTATTAAAGCTGCCAAGCTTATTTGCTTTACTCTTCTAGATAAATGTATTTTTAATGTGTTCATTAGAATTGAAATTAATTGCTTGAATGTATTTAATTATATTACATATTTTAGATCTTTAATCCTTGCCTTCTTGTTCTGATTTTTATTTTCGTGATTATGAAAAATACGTCCCTATGCTTAACTTTCTAATTTTGTAAGTGGTACTTTATTTTATACTTTAAGTGTAAGAGCTATTACTACTGTATTATTATTTGAAGAATAGGTTAAGTTATCAATTAAATTAGTTTGCATTTAATATACATGGTGTTTTGCAAGAGAGCTGCCATCAAACGTTATTATGTTAATATCGAAACCATAAAATGTCTAACATTATCTGTACAAAATTTCTTATTTTTTTACTCCTCGTACTATCTGGTTGTGACTATATGTAGGATGATTTAGTAATTCTAGAGCTTGTCAATTCATATTTGACAGGACAAATTAACTTTAGCTAGTGATAAGAAAAATAAGTTTCATAGATTACTAAGAAGCTGTATTTTTCAATGATAAAAGCACTACTATCACGCTGAACACACCGTATAGAATCTGAAATTCTAGTTTGGTGTATACTTCAACACTTTTGAGTAAAAAAGGTTTCATTCTTTGTATAATAAAATTACATCAAACTCCAAGAGAAGTGGCATATTAATTATTTAAAACGACACTTTTGTAAAACATCTATTTACAACGTTAAAGTCATTACACAATTAAATACAAGGACTTGTCCTAAAAAACGACTCTACATACTTATAAATAAGTGTCATCTTGTCTGTTCCAAATCAAGAGTAATACCTTCCACATTTCAGAGTGAAATCACATCTCAGGAAATAAATTGTTTTTGTGCTTCTTGATGAACTTAGATATGTATCAAGAAAAGTGATGTGTTTTTCTAAATAGTGAAATTACATCTATCTTTACACAAATAAAATGGTGTGGCTCTGTATACTTAAATGAAATTACAAAAGACTTGACAGAAATACAGTATTTCACCATATTGTGAAATTATATCTGCTTAAAGCCAGTCAGTTTCCTTCTTTCTGTCCAACAAGAAGGTTCGTTTTGTGTATTTCATTTTACAGGAAGGTCTAGTCAGTTTCCTTCTTTCTGTCCAACAAGAAGGTTCGTTTTGTGTAATTCATTTTACAGGAAGGCCTAGTTAGTTTCCTTCTTTCTGTCCAACAAGAAGGTTGGTTTCATGTATTTTGTTCTAATTTGGACAAGACAGTCTAGTCCTCAT